TGTTTGTGCGCACACACACACACACACACACACACACACACACACACGGGCAGAGGAGGGGAGTGCTGGCAGAGGCTGAATGTGTTTGCCCGCTCCAGGGGAGAAGGGAAGAAAAGGAGCAGAAGAGCTGAAACAAACGCATGCTGGCTTCTATTAGTTGAGCTGTGGAGCGGGATGGAGGGGTGAGGAAATGTATTCATTCCTTCTGCCCCCACCCCATCTATTCCCATCCCTCCAACCCTCCTACCCCATTATCTCCATTCTGGAAAGGCGGTGGATGAAAGGGACAACCCCCCAGTGGCAGCACTTCTCCCTCCAAACTTACGCCGACGCATTCTGACGGCTGCTTAATTGTACGTGATACAGGCAGGGCCCTTTCTCTTTCAAATCTAAAACAGATTGCTTCTCCCTGGGGAGGGGATTATTGGACAAGTAGAGATGACAAAGCAGGGACAGTGCAGCCCTCTGGGGGGTGGAGGACGGAGGGGGGTAAGCTTGTGGATAGTGTGTGTGTGTGTGTGTGCACATGTTTTTCTGTGTTTCTCTTTTGTATATGCCTGTGTCACCAAGAAGATTATGTTTGTGGCCATGTGTTTCAAAAGCGCGCACGTGTGGGTGACAACCAAGAACGTGTGCGCAAGATCCAGCCTCTGATCGACAAGATCAACTAGTACTTTGTTCTGCTCTTTATCACATGTTCACACCTCCCTTCCTCTTATCTCGGCCTCTTCTACTTTATCCCTCTCCCACTTCCCCCTCTGTGTCTCTCTTGACCCAGCTCTCTCTTTCTCCCTCTTAAGCCCATGCTGCATCCATGTGCAGTGACATTTGAACAAAAGCTGCTGCGGACATCACAGAAAGCATTTTCTCTTATTTTCTCTTATTTCTCTCATTTTCTTTATTCTCAGGCCAGAATTACAGTACAAGCACCTGGTCATGTGGTAAGGTGTTCCTGGCTGTTGCATAGCTGAACCATTACCTGAACTGGGCAAAACCTTTCTTCACAAAACATATCTTCTCTTTCCAACTAGTCATCGGGGTAGAGGCTCAAGACAAGGGGAACAATGCCAGACACAAAAAAGTAAAGTGCCAAATATACGTCTGGTTTTCTGCTCTCTTTAACGTGTGCAAGTACTAGAGAAGCCTTAAGGATCAGGCATTCTTACCAATGATGAGCTGGATGTGATGTTTGCATGCCCTGACCTTTACAGCTCAAATGTGAGGCTAAACAAACACATGGGGGTGCTATTGTGAGCGACCTAAAACCCCCAAAATAGATCTACGCAGTGTGTCTTTGTGCTTCCAGAAATGCAATGCATAGTTCCCTGGAGATGTGTCCTCAAAATGCAAGGACACGTTTAAGGGCTGTATGTATGTGCACTGAAACTCCATGGAAATGTTTGATCAGTAAGGACAACAAAGGAACTGAGAAAGTGGCTGACTCATCTAAAGATAGCCTTTCTAGATCCCACATAAATAAAAGCATGCCAAATGCTCACTGTTCAAATACTGGTCATTTGCAGTGATAGGACTGTGCAATCTACTCCAGAGCTACTATGCAATCAGGCTAGTATGAGGAACACTATCATTAAGCTGAAGAGATAAACAAGTGCTGGAGAGGAGGGTGGTTTAGGAAATCTTTTCTTAACATGCTCACACACAAGAGAACACACACAAACTACAGTTAAATTACAGATTTTTTTCTGTATTTTCCACAGAGATGAAAATCAGAGGATCCAACATTCTACAAGTCTTCCAAAGCAAAGATGAATAATTTAGTATTTATTTTATTTAGAGTATTTATTCAATCAGTTTAACTTATTAAGTTCAATTTGATCTAAAAAATATCGATGGGAGTTTGAATAACACATGATTCTCCAACTCCAGGTCCAGTTTTTCTCCATTTGAACTCTTTTTTTTATAGGCCATGAGCGTCTCCTTATTCTTACAGGAGTATGGAAAGTAATCTGCAAGGCTTTCAATTTGAGTGCAACCAAGAGAAACCCATAATGATAGAATTCATAAATGTGACTTCTGTCATTGTGAGGTCAAGTTGAGAAAATACAATGCAGCATGATAACAGACTGAAAGTTTGAGATAAAAATTATGGTGTTGATTTGGAGAGAGAGAAGAGAGGAGAAGGCAGGTTGCTGTATTTAGAGTTATTGAGAAGGAAAGAATGAAAAAAACATAAAGTACTTGCAGAAATTCACATACTAGAATCTGAATTAAAAGTACTTTTGACACCTGTACATCTATAGGTATACATTAGAATGAATGCATATATTTAATGCCCTTTTCATTTAAAATAATTAGTTTGCTGTGAATGCCTTTGACCTTGTTCATCAGTCGGCATGTATGAAGTCACGCAAGATGTCTGGGGAGTCTCTGAATCACTGTGGCTGCCATTTAAAACACAGTAAATAATGAAATAATAAAAAGCACAGATACTACATCCTTCCTTACACTCACCATACATATCAGAGGAACAAATCACTTCACTTATTGATTTCACACATGTTCATGCACGCACGCGCACACACACACA